ATTCGGTGTCAAGCGCCAGACGATCATCGGTCTGGGTTCTGCCGATCTCTATCCACATCGTCCTCTTTAAGTTAATTTAGAGGCGCGGATCCGAACTCGTCTGTCTCAGGATTAGAAACAGTGAGGTTCGGCTTCGAGGTTGTCCTTAATGAAAATAATTTCATTCACAAGTGCTAGAGAGTTTTCTCATATGTTGCCCAATCTTGCGGCCGGAGCTTAACATCTTGGCATTGGAAGGACCATCCAGTCGAGAAACATCGCAAGAACTGATTCTACTCTGCTAATCCCACTCTCTTGTTACTTACTCTGAAATTTTACCAAAGAATTTGATTAGCAGCGAATACTGTTTATTTAATCAACCGAATACATAGGTGTTTTTTGATATCACTGTTGGACGGTAAAAGAAAGACTGACAGAAAGTACAACGTATGATTTCCTGAAGCTGTCATTTACTCCTTCAGCAATAATGTTGAATACCACGAAAGTTAGAAGGTGCTTCAAATAAGGGTGAGTTAGTGCCTAAATTTGTTAGGAGTTAATCTGAAAAACTGAAACGAAGTGCCTTTTCCATTTTTTATCCAATACCTATTTATCTCCAACACAGCACTTGAAACCGCTTTATTTACAATGGTATGCATCAGCTCTGTTTCGACATAATTTAAGTGAGCAAAGTTAAAGGCATCGAAAAGGTTCAAACAAAATTAACTATTCCTGCTTCGAAAGAGAAGATCACGTTTGTGGAATTGCTTGCAGTGGTTTTGTTCTCTTGAATGGATTACCCGTGGGAAAAAGATTTACCACAACTTCAGGGACATGCGCTACTTTATGTGCAAGGGTAGTTAAATAGAGAAACGATTGCTTGTAGTTCTATACTTCGTCAGTAAATATGCAATATATTTAAAAAAAATTCCATGACTTTTGGGCCCTCGACAAATTCTGCGATTTTTCCAGATATCGGCTCATTTTTAAACACGATTTGCCTTGAAGCACGTCAAGCAACGTATCCAATGTTGACGAAATGGGTCAGAAGCAGTACGGCAGATAATTTGTAGCTACACAGAATGAACGAGCTTTGGACAAGTATTGATTTCTACTAATTACTTAGCTACTTCTGTTTACTTCGCTTCTGGGTGCTTGCTTAGCATGACTTCTGTTTACCACTGTTACACTTACGTAAACAACATTTCGAAGCTGTCTGCTCTTCTTAACTAAAGGCAGAACTGATTAACTAATGAATATGTATTGTTTGAATCACGTTATGACAAACAGCTACAGAAATCTGACTAAAAATGTGAAATGTTTTCAGGCGTCGAATCCACAGATGAACTTTAACGCCTTCAAGGACACGTTCAGTCAGGGCGTCAGCTTCCTGAAGCGGCGTTTTTCGTCTAGCGACCTGAGCGAAGACATCGAAAATGAAATGGCCTTGCCTCGACAGCAGACGCAGCAGAGACCGGAAGCAAAATTCCTGGTAGAGTCTAAAGCGCCAGGCAGCAGCTTTGCGACAAGGTTCCTTCATTTACTGTCATTTTAATTAAATTAAAATTTAAACACTTCTAGCAAAGGCTCAGCTATAGGGTAGATTCAGGCAAGCGTCGAGCAGCTCGGCCATAATTCTCGCGATCAGTTGCATTAAAACAAGAGAATGCCAACCCTGAACTTTTTACGGATAGCCTATTGACTTATAGATCATGCTGTATGGCAGGTGTAACAGAGTGACATGAGGGGCATGAGATGAGCCTTTCCCTGAAAGGAATTTACTGATTCATAAATCATTCATTATTCAGGCAATATAAACATGACGAGAATTTTCATCCTGCAATTTATTTTCAGGAATGAGTATTGATATAAGCTACTCCGTCTTACTACCAAGGGACGCGTTGATAAAATATTCTTATTTCTGTTATAAACAAAATGTTTCCAGAACTGTGATGTCAAATGGAGAACAGTCAACAAAGGTCATTAATAATGTTGCGAAGAAAACCGAGGCGATTGAAAATTTAAAGCATCCTCCTTTCGGAAATTTAGTTAAAGTTTAAATGACTTCTGGACTACTGACAATCCTGCTTAAGTTAGTTCATTTGTACACTCATTTAAACAATATTGAGCAGATATTCTAAAAAAAGATAAAATTGCTTTCAGAAATCTTTAATAGGCGCTCATTATCAAGATTATCAGAGTAAAGCATCTGATTGAGGAACATAAGTAAACGAGGCTGTTGGCCACGAACATCAGTTAGTGTAGACTCAATTTTATGGCACTACTCACCTTGTAATTGAAAATCATGTTTGTATAATTAGTAGTCAGCTACATTACTAGCTGTCAGTCTGCGACCAATAGGAATTCAGTAAAGTCATGCAGGATTGGTGATATCTAAGATATGAATCAAATATGCTTTGGGTGGAAGATTTAAGTCTTGGAAGAGACATTCATCATTTGATATACTCCTGCATACGAAGACCTACTCACGCTTATGGGCTAGCTTATAAGAAGCTCCAGCTTCTGAAATATCGTTCATGATGAGCACGAGGTGGTTCTAGCGAACAAAATGATGCGCATATATATATGTATGGCATTATAAGGTCTGACTTCAAGACCAATGGCGATAGGAGGTGAGAAACTACCCTGGGCACAACTCAATGTCATTCACGAAAGAATGACACCAAATCTACGACGAAACCCAAATAATATATAGATGGTTGCTCAAAAACTATTCTTACAGCATAGATCGAACAACTCAGCATGGGGAAGTATTGGGAATAACAAGAAACGATGGGAAGACGAACGAATAGTAAGAGTAAGAGCGCAGACGAACGCCTGCCATGCCATTGCTGACAAGCACTGATCATCGCTGGACCGGAAAAACGATAAAGTCTCTTCCAAGAAACAATAAACGGTCCGTCAGAAGACCTCCAAATCAATGGCAGGATGAACTGAACAAATTCGTTGGATCAAGATTGATAAAAATCACAAAAAATAGAGGTTTATGTCAAAGTCTTCTAGAGGTCTTCATCGAGCAGTGGATTGACAGTAGCTGATGATGGCTATTCAAGGCTCTGCTTTTAATTGCGACTAAATAAGAGTATTTCAATTGAGCAACTTGTTCAGTGGGTCCAAGAATAAATTCATCATGTCATCTGTCTGAAGATGACAACTGATTGATTTCACGCTAAAATGCCGGTAGGAGGATATCACGCAAAGACATCTTAAAGTCGCTTCATAAAAGTCAAGTTACACATGAAATGGGCTGGGGTAATATATTTCTACATATTACATGGAAATGATCTATGCGGCTAGTCACAACCCTTACTACATATTTCATTCCATTTTTCCAGACTAGCCGTTTTCTGCATAGCGGCTCTTTGAGCTACGCTATGAAAAGCAGATTGGGAAGTAGAAAAGCTGTTACGACCAAGTCCAGAAAACGGCATACCCATGCAATAGTCGCTCACTGCTGTTCACCGTACCGTTGGCTACTTAGTCGTCAAGTATCTAGTATGTCAAGGAGACCGTCGCTCTGGAACTTCGCCAATACTGAAGCCGTAGATTTCACTGCCTAATGCAGATCGAGTTGGAAAAGATGTGAAACTACGCATAGCCCAAATTTCAAAGCACATGGTCTACTGTATGCCAAATTATGGACGGAAATGAAAAGGATCGATTGGAGAACGATCAGAGTGACTTGTACGCTGACCTTCCTTTCTGCCTGCTGCCTCTTTCTGCATTTGCGTTTTTTAAAATTGACTATTGATTGGTTAAAGCTATGCACTAGTTTGATCAATTGCTCGCCAACACCTTCCAGTTCAACATATCCATATATTCTCTCAAGAGATACATCCATATGTTTTTTTATGGTGTCTCGTCTAATCACCTATGGTTTTTTTATGAATGCAACGTATTCGCTTATGCAACTGATCGTCGGTCATCTGTACACGATCTCAAGCCTATCATAATCGCAATTTCGAAGCTGAAATCAAATTCAGCAGTGCTCATTTAAACTTTGTTGAAACTGCAATTTTATATGTGTCCTTGTATATTTCTCGCATATGTGTCAATGGCGCAGACTCATCAAGATTAGCTACCTGACACATGCAGAAATTATAGGTTTAAGTGTACTGTAATAACAGTAATCAACGTGTTCCGTGCGCATAATTATACCGATGTGCGTAGCGCAATTCCAGTATCTCCTTGCATTCTTAGATAGGAAGGTCATTTACGAAAGCTACAGCAACTGCACTTGTGCATTTCGCGTTTTTTTGGCAATGCAGAAACATAATTGCTATTGTTCTTACGGTTGTCTCTATGAGCTAGTATAACTAACTCCCATGAGACCAGAATTGCAGCTTTCCACTTTTGTAGATCATGCGCAGTGCCCGTCACCAAGACGTTCATTCACACTCTTTTCCACTGTTTGTGCCCTACAGTACCGGCCCAGAGAGGACTTCATTGTCACGTTTTACAGTATCCCACTTGCTCACCAGTACCAAACTTAAAATCAACGAGCAAAAAATGATAAATGCACTATGAACATAATTCTGCAGGTTAACTGATCATTTCTAGCGTCGTTCGATTGATTCGATGGTCTGAAGAAGTGGTTTAATTAAGCCACGAATTCATAGTGCATAAGTATCTGAATCCTGAATCACTACTGGTTACGATTAAGCTACTAATGACCAGTAATAATTCCAGCACTTACATATGAATCCGTGGATTAGTTAAATTACATTCTATGTTATAAAACCAAAGGAATTTCAATAGTAACCAACAGAATTACGTGTTTCAACATATCATGGGTCCTTTAGGTGATATATGAAAATCACTCAGTGGATCCGAACGAATTCCCTTCTTGCCAATCTGTACGTAGTTGGATGTCCTGACATTATATCACTTGCTGACCATTGACAAAGCAACATCTGAAACTTAAAGCTGAGCCTGAAGTGAGGCATTTCATATTAATTCTGAGACGCTTGCAATGTTGTTGGTCATTGTAATTCATTACAAGAATACTGCCACCATTAGACGCAAATGTTCGCTGCAGATCGACGGCTTAACGATTGATCGACCGCACTACAACATTCGACAGCTCTAACCCATTAGTAGAAGGCACAAAATTGATTTTCGACTTTTGATCGATTTTGGAATTATGATTCATGTAATTTCAAGAACAGCCCATCACTGTCACTTGAGCAAAGCAGTCAACTGGTCATCGTATGTTGTGTGATAATGAGAACCCCTTGATTTCAATGGGGGGGGGTGCGTATGTTTTGCATGAATCTTGGATAAAAAGTTAACTTTGATTTGTAATTCGTAAGTTGGTTGTCTAACTTCAGCAGAAGGCAATAAGAGAATCTGTTTACTGGGCAAACCTCACGGTGTGATATCTCTTCTCACAGATCGCCGTCAGAGAATGTCTCATTGTGATGATTGCTGAATGCCATCGAACTAAAACGACCTCGTTCATGAGTCAAGGAAAAGAGAGTGAGAGCAACAGCGACTCACAACAATGCAACGAGAGGAACGATATGTTCTATGGAGATAGTTCAGGTCCAAAAGTTAATTATAAATGTAACTACCCAAAAAACCTGACCTGTTGGGTTAGGTCATTATCCACATCAGCATTTTATGACCCAGTGAAAGCCTCTCAAAAACATTTACCTTAATCATTGTCTACGTTGCTCTAACCAAGTTCTTCTGCTCATCCAATCGTAGAACTGGAAGTTTCCCTTGATGCCCTTTGCTGTCGTTTTGAATCCACTCTGATATCAGTTTGGTTCAGCAATGGTCTATGTCTTTGAAGATGTCCTAAACGCTGTCGTTTCAGACGTTTGGTTCTTATCATGACGTTGGAGACCTATGCTGTAGTTTTACCATTCCTTCGTCGTCAAATTTTTTCTTGTTATTCTCAACAGACATTTTTCCATACTGATTTATGAGCAAATTTAATGCTTAAGCACTAAATTTTGTACTGATTCGTTAGCTCTGCCAGCACACCCTTACCGTGGACCTTTCTTTCCAGGCATTATTCCTCTTAGAAACATTTTCAATGTTTCTAAAAAAACTCCATGCAAATTCATAAACTTTTCTGATCAACTTCCAATTCTCTTCAGCAAACAATTCATCTGTTGAGCCTCGGAGTAAGTAGCTGAGAAACATGGGACAGATCGCTGACCTGCAAGTATTAGGGACAACATTGCGTTGAGATATGGTTATAACATAGCTTGCGATATAGACTGCGATGCTGCTTGGTGGTCGCATTGACCTATCTGATAGCTGACTAAAAGAAGCACAGGTGTAACCTGTAAACAATGAAAGCAATGCTGAAATAGCTTCCTCCTTTCTGATTGCACAGAACTACACTGAATTGAATTTCTTACTAAAACATTTGTTAGTTCATAGGACAGGTTGAGCCAAGCCACTAAGTTCCTGCTTCTGCTCATTTCCTCGACTAACAATTTATACATTATTATCACTTAACAGTTGCAGCAAACTTGTAGCGGTGCAATGTCAAAAATCGTCTTCTAATCAACACAGCCTGTTGGCTTCAGTCTTATCTTGTTACATTGCATGTTGGTCCCATGAAAGACTTCGATCACATTTTAGATCTCTGGGGAAGAGTGAAAACAGCAACAAGCTAATTGTATATCAATAACGTATAAGCTGTTCCTACGTCTCAGTATTTCAAATGGA